CAATTTAAGGAAAAAAACAAGTCACCTGGGACATTTTAAATAACCTATTTAAAAAATAGTCCACATGACATAAAAAACTACAAAGCATTTATTTAACAAACATCTATTTTATACCTAGTATGAACCTGGCTCTGACAGGTACAGGTGGACCCCACATGGTTCTGGTAAACTTCAGACAAGTTATCAAGTGTAGATATTTACTGGCTTTGATGTATAATACCCATGACCAGCTAAGATGTGTGCTACCTCAGATGGCTTCAAAGCCACGAATATATTTTCCACCTTTGAGAAAATAAGATGAAATCAATTTTTTCTTTTTAAAAAAATGAGACTAACAATTTACATTTTTTAAAAAGTTAACAATGGGACATTTTACAAAAACATGCTGAACACATTAATACAGGGTGGGAAAAAGATAAGGAAAGCAAAGTGGAACGCAATAGCACAAATAAATAGTGGTGACAAGTTCAATGAGACAAGCAGGGTCTTTATACACAATTCCTGGGAGAACAGGACAGAAACAAGACAGAAGTTACACTTGCTAATAGTTCCATGCCTTATCACAGAAAAGAGATACGATGCCAACAAAATAACTGATAAAAACTATTTGGAAAATATTTGAAATATGTAAATGTGAAAAAATAACATGTGTAAAGGAGGATAGGCAAACCTAGTCACTGAATGTATAAAAACTAATGATGAAAAAAATTAGGAAACACTTCTGTTAGTTCACATGACTCATTTTCGACCACAATACTGCTCTTTTAAAAAGTAAAAGCCTACTTAGAATGGCAGTATTTAAATGATTTTTAAGCACGGTTTCACATGCTCCAGGATTATTGTCTCAGTGGACTCCAGGGTTCTTAGTTGCTGAACCAACTTGCTATCATCTGGGCATATTACAGACTAACTCTGTGCCCGATACCCGGTGGGCATGGGATAGATGCCCTCCCTCCTCTATGAACAAAATCCTGAACCTGGTCCCTGTGGGCAGCCCCCAAAATCTAGAGGCAGCTATGCTTCCCTGTGAGGCTGGAGTGGAGGGTAGGAGGCCCCACTAAAGTGGTCCCTGGCCCACTGATTTCCCGGTTGCTGGGCTGCTAGCCTAGGCCTTCTGACCCTGGTGTAGCATCAGATTCTGGACTGAGGATGGCTGCAGCACTTTGCTGCAGCTATTCCTTCAGAAGCTGGTCCCTCTGTCAAATGGGTTGGTCTTACCTAGGTGAACAATCTGAGCACAAAGGTAGCACGTGTCACTTAAAGAACCTCCCACTTCTCGAAGGGAAACCTCTCTTCCTCTAGATGGGCAGAGGCATTGACGCATCTCTTGAGTGACTCGTATTCACTATTGACATGTTTCTGTGAGGGGACCAGCCATCTATTGCTACAGATCTTGCTCTTAATGCCTTTTGTCCTACAAGCCTGTGATTTTACCTTTCAGCACGCCTTGGTATAGCTAATACACTACACTGTGTAAATAACCCTCTGACATAGGGTAACGATTAGGCTAATTTTGGA